ATATATGAGTCTCTCTTCGCGACCGCTATATTTTATTCACATTTTTTTCTGCGTAGCATGTCTGATTTCTAACTACCTCCTTGTTACGGAAACTCGGCAAATTCCAACAAAGAAACTAGTATAGCTTGCAGCTCGCTGTGGGGTTAGGTTTACGTGACAGAAACCCAATTTGATGCTTAACAGGAAGCCATTTCGAGATAATAATTACGTCTTAATGTGCGGCGGCTACTGCGTTTACTGTCAGGATTTATTTATTTATTTTTTCTTTCGCCCTTGGTTGATAATTTTAAACAACAAGAAAATAGTAATAGTTTTAAATTTATATAGCGCTTAAATGCAATTGCAAACACGCGCTTTTCAAACATGTAAAAGACAACACTAACAATAGTACTAGATATACCTGAGTTTCCGGAGATAGCGGGTAGCTTCTCGCTGTATTCCTCTCCAATTTCTCCCCAAGTTCGTCCACCAGCCACTGTATACGCGCTCGCGAAAGCCGAAATCTTTCCAAAACTTCACAGTCAGCCATGTCGGCAAGTATGGGTCTAGTATTGTAAGACCGAGGTCTTCTCGCCAAACCAAAAATTCCGCCTCCGGCCGCCATTTTGTTTGGTGTTGCAACATTTGCGATTTCCCGGTAACTTTACGGGAGGTCACGACCTCCCGTAAATTACCGGGCAAGTTACCGGAAAAATTAACGGGATCGAAAATAACGGGAGCTTTGAGAAACACCCGAAAAGTTTACGGGGACTTACCGGGTGACTTACCGGGCCCGATAATTTACCGGGTCTTTCGAGAAACAGGCCCCTGGACTGCTGCTTTCCTTTGTTATATTTTTTATGCTACGTTACGTGCCGATTTATACACTGTTTTAGAGATGCCATTGTTTTATTTTCACTCGACTTCTCCATTCTGCGATTAAGTTTGATTAAAATGTACATTGCATGAAAAGAAAAACATTAAACACCGTTTTTTTCCTTATTTCCGGTCATTTGATCTCAACTCCCGATAACTCCAAACTTTTTCAATTTCCCTTGAAGGTTCGAGTTATGGGGAGTCCACTGTAGTATCATACATAACCGTCTTTAGCTATCCATCTTAAACTCTAGCTCCAAAACAGTTTTTAGCGGCTCTCGAGCTCATTTAACAATTTTCAATTAAATGTCACCGAGCTTTAAATAAATGCTTTAGCTAATAGTATTGACAATGGGCGAAGAAGGTAAAGGTCTTAAGTAGCCAAAATAACATTGAATTTATTTTGCTATTTTGCCAGGTTAATATGAGACGAACTACGATGGTGGGTTTGATATGTTTACTCGTGATATTGATCACAACAAGCTCGTCTAAACAGTGCAGCAAACCTGTACGCTCCGTAAAAGGAAGTTACCTGACTGGTCACGTGATATCGAACGGAAGCACAGATAGTTTAGGAGACTGTTTGGTCGAATGTACCGCTGACCCGCGGTGTAAGAGCATCAATTTCCGCTTTGAAGACTTGCTCTGTGAACTGAACGACGCTGATAGATACACTCACCCGTGGGATTATGGATCTAAAGAAGGACATGGGTACAGTGATTATCCTTATAAGGTAAATTAACGTTTCTTTTTTTTTCTCTGGGTCCTCAGCACACCGTATTGTACAGCAGGTCTTTTGACTGATAGGTGTCAATTAATCTACTTAAAATTGAAAGTTCATGATACTGATGTCACTTCAAACCGGACTCTGTGATATTAGTTAAATAAATAAAATAAATGAATTAAAACTGATTTAGAGAGGAATCCACATCAACCTTGGCTCGTTTTCACTCGGGTCCTCTATCCGGGTTATAATTTAGACTGTTGGTGTTTGTAGAGCCGAATCAATTCGTTAATGCAAGAATGAGGGGTGCGCTTCGCGTACTTTGTTCCGGCTGTAACTGCTTTCATAGACATGCAAACCAATTAACATGAAACACTTTATTTAACACAAACAGGAGATATATAAAGAGTTTTACATGACGCCTCTGTGGCTTCAGACACACGCCTCTTTCGTCAATGTCTATCATATCACATCCGCTGACCAGATAACATTCAACGCAGGCTTGACAAAAGACGCGGCTCTTTTAAAAGTTTCCTTGGTGGAAGCTGGTGTCTTGCTAGATGCAGCTCCGCTGACCGTTAAAATAACAGTAGCCAATGACGCCAGCATTGGGCAAATATTTGACAGCGATATCATATATGGTGTATCGGACGGAATCAATTTCATTGGATTTGAAGCACCAGACAGAGGAAATTATGCCAAAAACTACCCCTGCTATGGAATTGAAGCCACGCCTGGGGAAACTCTGACAAAAAAGACAAGTTTTAATAAGGTAACTCCTAATGAAGTCGCAAGCTTTTACCCTGATCAGTTTGTCTTCACTCTCAAGCTGGACAAGCCATGGGGCTCGTGTTTTACTACGCATGGCGGAGGCTTCCTGAAGACAGCCGAGTTCACGAAACGATTGATGCCTAGCTTTGGTCTCACTCTGGAGGTTTATAAAATCAATCGTGGAGAAAGAGTTGGCATCAAGTCTATTGAGGTCACTATTCGAAAAACTGGCGACTACTAATTACATTGTGGAATGTTGTAAAAATCAGTCCGTTTCTTTTACCTTAATTTTTAAAGTAATTTTTAAACGATGTCTGCAATTTTGCTAAGTGATTTGTGCTGTGGCACTTTTAACGCATGCCCCTAGTGATTATGCAATGTTTTCAAATAAAGTTTATTCAACATTCTGCAGGTATGCGGCATAAGCTATGGATCCTGTTCAAGGTGCTTTGGACCCATTTAGCCGATATTTGTTAAATCCCACAACGCGATGGATTTGTTCATGTCAGATATTCATACAAAACACCCTGTTAGATCGCTCTGCGTCCTTTCCTTTTCTCCTCACCCCCATGCCTCCTCCCCACAAGTAGCCGTGTGTAACTCATTGATCCTGGGTAGAACCATCATCTTCATTTTGGGGTCAGTTTCAGTAACATGCAATGTGATAACTGTTACTTTTAACCTTCGCGGACACTCATAAAACACACAACTTGCTGAGGTTAGGTATGGTTTCCTTGCATCGAGTCAGCCGACACATTATGAACTAGTCAATAGACTTTAAGGAGGGCGGCTCTTTGTTTTGGCGCAGAAGTAATTACATGGAAGTGGCTGAAGCACAAAGTTTCATCTTCCTATCGAATCAATCATTTTAGGCATGCGCGTAAAACTGCACTCCGCATGCAGAAACTGAAACGCAAAGTAAACCCAAGTTCTCGAAACGGTTGCCTAAATTTCTGTTTGTGCAGAAACGGAAAAAAGAAATGCTTTTTTCAACCTGTATAAGCTTCAACTTGAAATATTTTTAAATATGTATCCAATAAGAAGATTGAACCATTGGGAAATAACGTTTTAGAGAAACAAAGAAACGCAAGTCTTTACACCTACGCGGGAGCAGCCAAGATAAGTTGGTTACGTTGTTGTCTACGAATTGAAAGTTGGTTGGATTATTCCCGGGATTATTAAATTCAGCGTTACAATGTGTACATAACCTTACAACGATTGTAAAAATATGAGCCAAAAAGAGTCTGGAAACTCAGTTAAAAGTCCAAGAAGCAACCTAATGACATCACGAGCAGTGGTTGTGTTCATGTTAGCAAGCTCGAGCTTTGTTAAAGACAAACAAAAGAAATGAATAAATGTGGTCATTGAATTTCCTTCGTTTGTGCCCTTGAAGCCTCGCTGCAAAGCTGAATTTTATCATAGCAAAAATGGTCTATTCACTCTATGAAATATGCCTGCAGGGAATCATGGTAACTGTATTCATCAAAACAAATATCCAGTCCACGATGATGTATACAACTACTATGATTCCCTGCTGGCGAGTCTCATAGAACGAATTAAATAACTTAAACATCAAGAGTGCAATTATCATATTTGCGGCATGATGTAGTTCAGTTTTTATCGTAGCTTTTATGATATGGTGGTAATTACGTTAACGTTTTTATTGTTGTTTAATTATTGGAGTTTTTCATCATGCATATACCCAAACTTTTCATGCATTAATATTTATATAACAGCTGATAATGGTCAGCTGATTGGTTTCTCACCGAGATAAACAAATAAATAAGTAAATAAATAAATAAAAAATAAATGAGATTGTTTAAATACATCCAGCTCATTCTACCAATGGTATGAGCACATCGTCTTCTCTTGCCACTAGACAATCCTTTTAATCAATAATAAATAACTGTATGAATAAAAAACCTGACTTTTCAACCAACTGTGAAACTTTTCGATTAATTTACAGATTAATCCTCGCTCTTAGATAGAATTAAGCTGTAGTCTTTTAATCTATCCATATCCTGAGTTAACAATGGGATTTAGACTTCAGAATACAAATAACAACCCTATATGAGCATCGTGAATATACAATTGATATTTCACGTGGAAATATATTCAAAAAGTTTGTCTCTTTGACGGGTAAATTAGCATTTTCTTTTGTGTTTCGTGTACACAATTTTCGCTCGATTTACAAGTTTGTCAGCTGAATTAATTGAGAAGGAATAACCCATAAACGCCACAGCTTACGCGATCCAGGTCAGCCGGCGAAGAAACAAAAATAAACAGACCAAAATGGAAGATGAGTCTCAGAAGAGGGCAAGTTCTGAGGAGGAACAGAAAGAAAAGCCAAGCTTCCTTGAACGTTTAAAAATATTCGGATGCACGGTCCAGTTGTTTCACTACAAGGTTTTGTTCTTCGCTTCTTATGGCGCGTTCGGTTGCTTGATGACGTTTTTACCGCTGTATTTCAAGCAGTTAGGTTTGTCCGCCGCCCAAACAGGGCTTCTTGTTGGAATACGTCCTCTTTGCCAAGCAATAGGAGCACCATTTTGGGGAATCCTCGCCGACAAGTACAAGAGAAGAAAAGCAATTCTCCTACTCGGTGCAACTGCTTGGCTGATTAAGAACATGTTAATTCTAGTGGTTCGCCCGAGTCATCAAGTGTGCGTTGCAACCGTTGGCAATGAATCTCATCTTGTCACGAAGAGGAATAGCCTCGTGGACTCACAACAGAAAACCGGCCCTTTAAGCAGCAGGGTACAAACGGCGTTAGCGTCCACAGGTACTCCAGACAAAGAAAAATATTTCATTCAAGTCGACAATGGCGAGCTTTTGGATATATTTTATATCCTTCTTGTGCTTGTTATCATTGGAGAACTGTTTGGCTCCATTCTTCACCCACTCCTGGACGGGTGCACAGTGGACTTCCTAGGCAATGAGAGGAAATCATACGGTCGGTTACGCTTCTGGGGCTCTGTAGGAATGGTGGTAACTAATTTAACTGTTGGCCTGGTCATTAATCACTATACACGCCAATACTGCGGCGAGATACGCAAAAATTATTACATCGCCTTCTACTTCTTCGCCGGTTTTATGGTGGCCACGATTGTCTTCCTATTCTCCGTGAAAATCGTTTACTGCGAGGGGCCAAAACAATCCTTATCCGCAATCAGGGAACTGTTTAATTCTCGCGTAAAATTTTCCTTCTGGTTTGCAGCGATTTCTCTTGGAATAAGCGATGGATTTCAGAGTGACTTCAACTCGTGGTTCCTCGATGACCTCAAAGCAAGCTCCTTCGAGGTTGGCCTTGCTGCAGCTTTACACTTCGTTCTAAGCGCGCTGTCTTATTTTGTCGCAAACTTTGCACTGGAGCGGTTGGGGTACATTATTACAATCGCTGCCGGCCTTGTATTGTATATAGTACTGTTTATTGGCTTTTCATTTGCTCAAAGCCCGTGGGTCGCGATTGTGTTTTATGTAATCATCGGCGGGGTGTTTGCTGTTTTCTGGACGGCATGTGTGGCGTATGTTGGAGCGATGGCATCCCCGCTTGGTCTAGGAGCTGCAGGACAAGGTAAATAAGACTTCCTTTTTATACATCAAAGAAATTATTATTTGTTTAGAAGCTGTTTGATAATCATCCCTTTTCATATGGAATATAAATAAGCAATTTGTGAACGGATCTCTTAGTTTTATTCATGTTCCGCTTTTGAGCTATTGACATGTTCATATTTTGCGAAAAATCTGTGAGGCAGATTTAATTTGTTTGAAGGTTTAATTATAGCTGGGGTGACACGCGATGATTTTTAGAAAAACCTCATTGAAACTACTTGTGCCCAACCTGCTCTCAAGCACTCGGTCATTCATTTTCGGTTTTTCGCTCACGTTGTATTGTTCAACTATTGCATATGATTTGTTAAAGACTTTCGCAAACCACTCGGACTATAGAAAAAACATATCTGGGACTGAACATTTTACAAAAGAGTTACAGCTGGGCTTTTTCATTACCTTAAAACTCTAGTAAATCACGTTAGCTTTCTGTCATTGCTGTGGAGACACAGACGGTCTTCAGCAAGTCTAATATTAGTATTACAAAGTATAACACTCAATTTATGGCACGTAGACTTGCCTGAATGTCTCACTCCGGACGCGGATCGCGATTGAAGTCCGGGTTCGAATCCTTTTTTAACTGATACAGTTCTTAGACAATGTACTTTACAATGTAGCGCATTGCTCCACCCGAGAGCTACAACATTGGAGGACAATCTGTAATCTGGACTTTAATCTCATCCGAGGAGGATTAATTAATCAGTATTGACGGTAAAATTTGACAGTTACTTGTGATAATACATTCTTGGTAGTTAGTCTGCCTCAGTGCTCTCGTTTCGTCCCGGCCAAGGGACTCTTCAGAGACCTTTCTGCTTGGTAAACTGGTTGAGCATCACTCCCTTTAATCTGTGCCGTTGGGGATCCTTGTACGATATAAGGCGAATTATGCTGCCATCATTTTGTTAGCGAACGGGGCTTTGAGNATAGTTTAGGAGACTGTTTGGTCGAATGTACCGCTGACCCGCGGTGTAAGAGCATCAATTTCCGCTTTGAAGACTTGCTCTGTGAACTGAACGACGCTGATAGATACACTCACCCGTGGGATTATGGATCTAAAGAAGGACATGGGTACAGTGATTATCCTTATAAGGTAAATTAACGTTTCTTTTTTTTTCTCTGGGTCCTCAGCACACCGTATTGTACAGCAGGTCTTTTGACTGATAGGTGTCAATTAATCTACTTAAAATTGAAAGTTCATGATACTGATGTCACTTCAAACCGGACTCTGTGATATTAGTTAAATAAATAAAATAAATGAATTAAAACTGATTTAGAGAGGAATCCACATCAACCTTGGCTCGTTTTCACTCGGGTCCTCTATCCGGGTTATAATTTAGACTGTTGGTGTTTGTAGAGCCGAATCAATTCGTTAATGCAAGAATGAGGGGTGCGCTTCGCGTACTTTGTTCCGGCTGTAACTGCTTTCATAGACATGCAAACCAATTAACATGAAACACTTTATTTAACACAAACAGGAGATATATAAAGAGTTTTACATGACGCCTCTGTGGCTTCAGACACACGCCTCTTTCGTCAATGTCTATCATATCACATCCGCTGACCAGATAACATTCAACGCAGGCTTGACAAAAGACGCGGCTCTTTTAAAAGTTTCCTTGGTGGAAGCTGGTGTCTTGCTAGATGCAGCTCCGCTGACCGTTAAAATAACAGTAGCCAATGACGCCAGCATTGGGCAAATATTTGACAGCGATATCATATATGGTGTATCGGACGGAATCAATTTCATTGGATTTGAAGCACCAGACAGAGGAAATTATGCCAAAAACTACCCCTGCTATGGAATTGAAGCCACGCCTGGGGAAACTCTGACAAAAAAGACAAGTTTTAATAAGGTAACTCCTAATGAAGTCGCAAGCTTTTACCCTGATCAGTTTGTCTTCACTCTCAAGCTGGACAAGCCATGGGGCTCGTGTTTTACTACGCATGGCGGAGGCTTCCTGAAGACAGCCGAGTTCACGAAACGATTGATGCCTAGCTTTGGTCTCACTCTGGAGGTTTATAAAATCAATCGTGGAGAAAGAGTTGGCATCAAGTCTATTGAGGTCACTATTCGAAAAACTGGCGACTACTAATTACATTGTGGAATGTTGTAAAAATCAGTCCGTTTCTTTTACCTTAATTTTTAAAGTAATTTTTAAACGATGTCTGCAATTTTGCTAAGTGATTTGTGCTGTGGCACTTTTAACGCATGCCCCTAGTGATTATGCAATGTTTTCAAATAAAGTTTATTCAACATTCTGCAGGTATGCGGCATAAGCTATGGATCCTGTTCAAGGTGCTTTGGACCCATTTAGCCGATATTTGTTAAATCCCACAACGCGATGGATTTGTTCATGTCAGATATTCATACAAAACACCCTGTTAGATCGCTCTGCGTCCTTTCCTTTTCTCCTCACCCCCATGCCTCCTCCCCACAAGTAGCCGTGTGTAACTCATTGATCCTGGGTAGAACCATCATCTTCATTTTGGGGTCAGTTTCAGTAACATGCAATGTGATAACTGTTACTTTTAACCTTCGCGGACACTCATAAAACACACAACTTGCTGAGGTTAGGTATGGTTTCCTTGCATCGAGTCAGCCGACACATTATGAACTAGTCAATAGACTTTAAGGAGGGCGGCTCTTTGTTTTGGCGCAGAAGTAATTACATGGAAGTGGCTGAAGCACAAAGTTTCATCTTCCTATCGAATCAATCATTTTAGGCATGCGCGTAAAACTGCACTCCGCATGCAGAAACTGAAACGCAAAGTAAACCCAAGTTCTCGAAACGGTTGCCTAAATTTCTGTTTGTGCAGAAACGGAAAAAAGAAATGCTTTTTTCAACCTGTATAAGCTTCAACTTGAAATATTTTTAAATATGTATCCAATAAGAAGATTGAACCATTGGGAAATAACGTTTTAGAGAAACAAAGAAACGCAAGTCTTTACACCTACGCGGGAGCAGCCAAGATAAGTTGGTTACGTTGTTGTCTACGAATTGAAAGTTGGTTGGATTATTCCCGGGATTATTAAATTCAGCGTTACAATGTGTACATAACCTTACAACGATTGTAAAAATATGAGCCAAAAAGAGTCTGGAAACTCAGTTAAAAGTCCAAGAAGCAACCTAATGACATCACGAGCAGTGGTTGTGTTCATGTTAGCAAGCTCGAGCTTTGTTAAAGACAAACAAAAGAAATGAATAAATGTGGTCATTGAATTTCCTTCGTTTGTGCCCTTGAAGCCTCGCTGCAAAGCTGAATTTTATCATAGCAAAAATGGTCTATTCACTCTATGAAATATGCCTGCAGGGAATCATGGTAACTGTATTCATCAAAACAAATATCCAGTCCACGATGATGTATACAACTACTATGATTCCCTGCTGGCGAGTCTCATAGAACGAATTAAATAACTTAAACATCAAGAGTGCAATTATCATATTTGCGGCATGATGTAGTTCAGTTTTTATCGTAGCTTTTATGATATGGTGGTAATTACGTTAACGTTTTTATTGTTGTTTAATTATTGGAGTTTTTCATCATGCATATACCCAAACTTTTCATGCATTAATATTTATATAACAGCTGATAATGGTCAGCTGATTGGTTTCTCACCGAGATAAACAAATAAATAAGTAAATAAATAAATAAAAAATAAATGAGATTGTTTAAATACATCCAGCTCATTCTACCAATGGTATGAGCACATCGTCTTCTCTTGCCACTAGACAATCCTTTTAATCAATAATAAATAACTGTATGAATAAAAAACCTGACTTTTCAACCAACTGTGAAACTTTTCGATTAATTTACAGATTAATCCTCGCTCTTAGATAGAATTAAGCTGTAGTCTTTTAATCTATCCATATCCTGAGTTAACAATGGGATTTAGACTTCAGAATACAAATAACAACCCTATATGAGCATCGTGAATATACAATTGATATTTCACGTGGAAATATATTCAAAAAGTTTGTCTCTTTGACGGGTAAATTAGCATTTTCTTTTGTGTTTCGTGTACACAATTTTCGCTCGATTTACAAGTTTGTCAGCTGAATTAATTGAGAAGGAATAACCCATAAACGCCACAGCTTACGCGATCCAGGTCAGCCGGCGAAGAAACAAAAATAAACAGACCAAAATGGAAGATGAGTCTCAGAAGAGGGCAAGTTCTGAGGAGGAACAGAAAGAAAAGCCAAGCTTCCTTGAACGTTTAAAAATATTCGGATGCACGGTCCAGTTGTTTCACTACAAGGTTTTGTTCTTCGCTTCTTATGGCGCGTTCGGTTGCTTGATGACGTTTTTACCGCTGTATTTCAAGCAGTTAGGTTTGTCCGCCGCCCAAACAGGGCTTCTTGTTGGAATACGTCCTCTTTGCCAAGCAATAGGAGCACCATTTTGGGGAATCCTCGCCGACAAGTACAAGAGAAGAAAAGCAATTCTCCTACTCGGTGCAACTGCTTGGCTGATTAAGAACATGTTAATTCTAGTGGTTCGCCCGAGTCATCAAGTGTGCGTTGCAACCGTTGGCAATGAATCTCATCTTGTCACGAAGAGGAATAGCCTCGTGGACTCACAACAGAAAACCGGCCCTTTAAGCAGCAGGGTACAAACGGCGTTAGCGTCCACAGGTACTCCAGACAAAGAAAAATATTTCATTCAAGTCGACAATGGCGAGCTTTTGGATATATTTTATATCCTTCTTGTGCTTGTTATCATTGGAGAACTGTTTGGCTCCATTCTTCACCCACTCCTGGACGGGTGCACAGTGGACTTCCTAGGCAATGAGAGGAAATCATACGGTCGGTTACGCTTCTGGGGCTCTGTAGGAATGGTGGTAACTAATTTAACTGTTGGCCTGGTCATTAATCACTATACACGCCAATACTGCGGCGAGATACGCAAAAATTATTACATCGCCTTCTACTTCTTCGCCGGTTTTATGGTGGCCACGATTGTCTTCCTATTCTCCGTGAAAATCGTTTACTGCGAGGGGCCAAAACAATCCTTATCCGCAATCAGGGAACTGTTTAATTCTCGCGTAAAATTTTCCTTCTGGTTTGCAGCGATTTCTCTTGGAATAAGCGATGGATTTCAGAGTGACTTCAACTCGTGGTTCCTCGATGACCTCAAAGCAAGCTCCTTCGAGGTTGGCCTTGCTGCAGCTTTACACTTCGTTCTAAGCGCGCTGTCTTATTTTGTCGCAAACTTTGCACTGGAGCGGTTGGGGTACATTATTACAATCGCTGCCGGCCTTGTATTGTATATAGTACTGTTTATTGGCTTTTCATTTGCTCAAAGCCCGTGGGTCGCGATTGTGTTTTATGTAATCATCGGCGGGGTGTTTGCTGTTTTCTGGACGGCATGTGTGGCGTATGTTGGAGCGATGGCATCCCCGCTTGGTCTAGGAGCTGCAGGACAAGGTAAATAAGACTTCCTTTTTATACATCAAAGAAATTATTATTTGTTTAGAAGCTGTTTGATAATCATCCCTTTTCATATGGAATATAAATAAGCAATTTGTGAACGGATCTCTTAGTTTTATTCATGTTCCGCTTTTGAGCTATTGACATGTTCATATTTTGCGAAAAATCTGTGAGGCAGATTTAATTTGTTTGAAGGTTTAATTATAGCTGGGGTGACACGCGATGATTTTTAGAAAAACCTCATTGAAACTACTTGTGCCCAACCTGCTCTCAAGCACTCGGTCATTCATTTTCGGTTTTTCGCTCACGTTGTATTGTTCAACTATTGCATATGATTTGTTAAAGACTTTCGCAAACCACTCGGACTATAGAAAAAACATATCTGGGACTGAACATTTTACAAAAGAGTTACAGCTGGGCTTTTTCATTACCTTAAAACTCTAGTAAATCACGTTAGCTTTCTGTCATTGCTGTGGAGACACAGACGGTCTTCAGCAAGTCTAATATTAGTATTACAAAGTATAACACTCAATTTATGGCACGTAGACTTGCCTGAATGTCTCACTCCGGACGCGGATCGCGATTGAAGTCCGGGTTCGAATCCTTTTTTAACTGATACAGTTCTTAGACAATGTACTTTACAATGTAGCGCATTGCTCCACCCGAGAGCTACAACATTGGAGGACAATCTGTAATCTGGACTTTAATCTCATCCGAGGAGGATTAATTAATCAGTATTGACGGTAAAATTTGACAGTTACTTGTGATAATACATTCTTGGTAGTTAGTCTGCCTCAGTGCTCTCGTTTCGTCCCGGCCAAGGGACTCTTCAGAGACCTTTCTGCTTGGTAAACTGGTTGAGCATCACTCCCTTTAATCTGTGCCGTTGGGGATCCTTGTACGATATAAGGCGAATTATGCTGCCATCATTTTGTTAGCGAACGGGGCTTTGAGTACGATGCTCAACGAGTTTGCCAAGCAGAAAGCGCTCTAAAGAGTCTCTTGGCCAGGACAAAAAGAAAGCATTGCGTCAGACTAGCCATGAGCAATGTATTTATCAGTACTGATGGAATAAACTGGCCTGCTAGCTCCGTCGATTTTTCGGATTAAACAGGAGTGCTACCTTTCCCCATTTTATTTTCTCAGGAATCCTGAACGGCCTGTTTGTGGGAGTGGGAACCGGGGGTGGAACAATACTTGGTGGATTGCTGATCGGAGCTGTAGGGATGCGCGCATCGTACAGACTGTTTGCTGCCTTCCTAGCATTGATCACGTTGTTATTTCTTGGCTTCCAGTGGTCTGGACGACACGAAGATAGCGGTGAACTTGACTCACCGTACAGTGCAGTACCGAATCAAGACGACGAAATAGACGAATAGGCGGGTATTTCTTGCTTAAACTGATTTCCTCGGTAGCTCTTTCGAAACATTTAATACGAACTTGCTAAAATTCATATATAGTGGCTGTGAAATTTTGCATCTGTGCATTAGTGAGAGGAACAAGTTGAGTGCATGATGACCAGAGACATATAGGTTTGCATTAGTTACACCTTTTTTAGAAGCTTCACTGGCTTAGATGGGGCTCCTATGCGTCTCATTGCTGTTTTTGTAACATAATTATCGAGGAGACAATTCAAAGGGTAGCTAAAAGCATTATTCATGATGCTACACCTAAACATTACGCGTAGTACGTCCACACTACGCCCGAGAAATTTAAAAAGGCAGCTTTATTTCTACGGCTAGACCTACCGTCCACACTGATCCGTCAAGAAAACAGAGCTTTTCGTAGACGTTCTTCAAACCGGAGGAATTTGAAAACGCGGCTTTTCGTTTTCGTGCAGAAGGAAAACATCTTGAAAACGGCGCTTTTCGGAAATGATGACTTCATGATAGTCGTATGATTTCCCTAACCGAAATTTTCCCAAACACCAATCCAAAATGACCGGTGATTGTTGCGTTTTTAAATTTCCCCGGGGTACTGTGAACCAGGGGCGGATCTGTGTGTCCGTTTTCAAATTTCTCCGACTTATTTAGTCCTAGGCATGAGAAATTAACGATATTTAACGACAGAACACTTTTCTGCGTTGCTGCCTGGAAACAGCCTTCGTTGCAGACGCTACCTACCGCTGATTACTTGTTATTTACCGGTAAATTTCCTTCCGCGACGCAGGTTAACTGGAAAAATACAACGAAGAATAATTAGTAAACAGCCTTTAGGGAGGCTTTCAGGGCACTCAAAGGAAAGGCAGATTTTTGTACAATTTGACTTTTGAGAGAATCAGTCGTTAGCTTAGGATTCGACTACGCGACAAAACAATTTTGATCCGCAGTGTTTGACATCAATAAATAAATAATTCAAATAAATGAGCGCGACACGGCGATTTAAATTTTATCTTTATTATTCTTTATTATTATTTTGGTTGGTTGGTTGGTTGGTTGGTTGGTTGTTTTATTTTTGCCATTTAAAAGTATTTACAAAATATCAATGTTTAAAGTGAGGAATCCAAAGGAAGCCAATAAGATTGTACTTAGTGTAAGGACCACCTTAGGCTTAACAAAAGAATAAAAATGCTGTCATCGGCACACAAAATGATCATAATTTCTGATAAAAATTAGTTAAGCAAAGCTAAACATGCAAATGCGCAAAAGCAGTAGAGGACAAAAAAAGCGAGAAAAAGCTAAAAGCTCCGTGACATTCTCCAGAGAATTGCACTTTTATCCATCTAAAAATTATTCATTAATTCACAGGCGACTATTTGAATATTTGAAAGTAGCAATTCTCACGGGTATTAGCACATGGTCTGATATGGGGCAACAAAACGCCCAAGCCAAAAAGGTTCATTAAGTTTAATTAAGAGGTGAACCCAGCAATACCAGAAGCATTTTGAATTTCAGTACTGAGAGAATTTTAATTTGAGGTCTTGACTTTCCTTAAATTTGTTCTACAATAGGGCAAACAGAAGGAATTCTTAGTTCTAGAATTGTATGTCATTGAAACTTTCAGGAAGAAGACGATTGGATAACCCAAAGTCAGTGAAAGCACAGGGTTCGTTTAAAAGAAGCTTTGAACTCTCGAATTCTCATCCCATAAACCCAGGGATCTACTGCCGAGCTTGTGCGGGACAATGTGGCGGCCCACATCCAGGCTCAAGTGTACTGCCTGCGACGACACAAATCAGTCGTGGCAAACTGCAAAACGCTGACAACGCTCACTGGCATGGAAAGAACAACTTCTACAACAGCAACGATGGCAACCTTCCAAACTGTCTTCTTGGTCCTTTTAGCCTCCACTGAACGAGCTGTTTCTGTGTTAGTCACTGTCCCTTCCTCGTCTCGTAAAATGGCCCAACGGACACCGCGCTCGCTCTGCCACAGCAATTCTTCTCGACTGGTCGCGCGCTGCTTGGAAAATCTCTTCATGGCAGTAGAAATTAACCAGCGTGGGAACAAGCTCAGTGAGCATCCCGCAGATAATCCAAAGTTTTGGCAAGTCCTTATTAGCGAGCGTAAAGAAAAAGGAACTGAGCGTGAAGCCGAATACCCAGACGATTATGATTGAGATGCAGCTTCGCTTTACTGTAACAACACTGTAGTAGCACAAAGGGTCAATGACAGCGATGTATCGCTCGATGCTCATTACACTTAAGGTGTGCATGATTATCATTGCGCTGGACATGGCAAAGAAGCTTTCCAGCTGCTGTAGATGCTCTTCTCTGTATTGCCACGAAACAAAGTTAGTTAACATGATCTAAAGAGGATTCACTGCTATGCCGACGAAGAGATCGATGGCGGATAAAGATGCCAGCAGATAATAACATGGCTGGCGAAGTGACGGGCCTCTTGATAATAGTCATTAGCACAATGAAATTTCCCGTGCGATTACAGCCGCTAGTCCAGAAACTGAATTGATAATTCCCAGGATTATAGCCGCAATAGGCGATATCTCTCCCGCGCAATGCAGTTGTTCTACCATCTCTAGTTCTATAATACCTGGCGATTTTGAAACGTTAACAGGTCCGGGTGTTTCCCGAATGGATCCGAATCCTTATTGCAGTTTGAATCACATCTATTGTTAGCAATTATGTGACATAGAATATGTTGGCACTCGTTTATTGGAAACTAGAGTAAAAGGAGCTACGTCATAGCAGTGAATCCTCTTTAGATCAGTCATGTTAACTAGCTTTGTTTCGTGGCAATACAGAGAAGAGCATCTACTGCAGCTGGAAAGCTTCTTTGCCATGTCCAGCGCAATGATAATCAAACAAATATTAAATAAATATAAACATTGACACAGCCTCTTTAATTAAATAATACAATTGGAAAACTGTGCACGTGGTGTGCATGTACAATGCTTATTAAGCGTATTACGCACGCTTGCATCTGCCAAGTATTAACCACGAAGTTGATTAAACCAGCACAAACCAGTGCGATGACATAACTGTTCTTAAAGTGCTTAACCAACTAGCATAAACGTTCAATTTGGATCTGAAAGAATTAAAAGGCTTGTGCCTTCGTGTGATTGAACTATCTTTCTTGGTGTTCTGAAGTGACATGTGGCACTAAAGCATGTATTTTCATCTCATTACGTTGATCTATCCCATAACCCATCCAAATAATTGAAATCTTTCACTTTTAATGTTTTATTGCGCTCGCCCTGAGTACAGGGTATGAAATCATTTTATATTGTATAGGCTGTTCTCTTGATGCTCCAATCAGATTGGACAACTTCCTTCTCGTCTGGGAAGCTTGCAAAGCATATAGGGATATGAGTCGCTTGGCCGTGTATACTTCGTTACTCCGATAATTGAATCAACCATAGTTAATAGAGGGGACTGGTTATGAAGCCCGGCAAACATCAAAGGAGCAAACAAAGACGCCAAGATTTATGTTGGATGCTAACTCGAGAATTCTAGGTTTAATTTGACGAGGAACGACACTTTTTTGTTCAAAATAGGACGCCTTGTATTGAATAGCAAGTGACTTACTTTGGCAAAAAATTAAAAGCTTGGAGACACAAAATGTTTCATGTTCTTCACTTTTTACAATCTCATATGGTTTTTGGAGTTATAAATTTCTTTTCGTGAATATTCAATGCCATCTCCAGTGACAAACGTTGCCCGACTTCAATGCCTTTCTTGTCAACAATGCAGTTGACATCAGGACAGTACAGTTTTTCCCACCTGCTGAATCCTGATTGATCAATTCAAATTTCAGGCACATCGGCCTTATGCAAGGCTTGTAGCTGCGCCTATAAAAAAAAGCACTTTTTCTCAGCTTAGATGATCACGTCCATTAGTAGGGACGTTCGGAACGCCGAACCGCTGGTCTCTTGCCCTCACCTTTGCTCACCTGTCAACTACGAGGATACAAATTTTACGAACACTCCCTAAAGAGTGCTTTTCAGTGACAATGATACATATAAATTTTAAAGTCAACATAAGTTAAGGGCTAATTCCTCGCTGCTTTCCCCTCAAGTCGATCTTAGGTTTTTATTGTCACAATTTCTTCTTTTATATAATCTTTATCTTTTAATTTTTAGTGTCTGCTTTTAATTTACTTATATTCTACTTTTATCGCACCTTTTAGAAACGCCATCATTTTAATTTACGTTTAAAAGTAGAAACAGAGCTACAGAGGTTAACCCTGAAAGTTGTTTAAACTGTTCCATGAACTGACTGATGCATGGTTAATAGAGTGTCCACTGTTCAGATCTGGATTTGAATAAAGGGATGTACAAGGGATTGAATTTTTAGTGCTCAAAACCTGTCTCTCTCTCCTCTGTTACTCTTTCTTGTTTTGAGAACTGGTGTCGGGTTGAACTTTGAGTTAATTACGCCAGCCCTGACGCAGAAGAGAAGCTTTGCAATCTCATAGCAGCTTGTTTCTCCTTGTCACATAATTTGTCCTTAATTTGCACTTCCTCTGTGTGCACAACATCAGTTCCTCCTGGGTTAGTGCTCTGGCGATTGCAGCCCCAACACGGACCATTTTGAAAGATTCGTTTTAACGCCTGTTTAAATTCTCTTGTTCTTAAAAAGTAGATCCAGGGATTTACCGCTGAACTAGCGAAAGCCAGCGTATCTACCCAGAACCACGTGATGAAGTCAATATGGATTTTTAAACACTCGTCTGACGTCAGAGATTGAACAAAAGACAGAATGCAGGATGGGAGCCACATTAAAAAGCATGCCCCTATAACGACAGCCGCTGTCCATGCGGCCTTGCGGTTTTTCAGAGTTCTGATCGCTTCACGTAGGTTCGCAATATGTTCACATGCTATCCTTCGCGCCTGTGCCCTGGCCGTCCTGTAAATGCGAAAATAACAAAAAGAGATTCCTGATAAAGGGATGATAAAAACGATAGTGTAGGAAACCATCCACATTGTGGGAAGCGCGTTGAACTGATCTGTGATAAACAGACGCGGTAAAGGTATAAGGAAAGAGAATATCCATACGAGACCAATTAAACGTAAGCATCTTTCAGTAGTGACATAACTTTCGTATCGAAACACGGTTACAATGGCTAGATATCGATCGACGCTTACACCACATAGACTGTACGTTGTAGCTGTAAGAGTTTGCAACGTCATTACTCCTGCCACTACCGCCAATGGATGGGAACTGTCCTGGATAACCAGCCCCGCTTTCACAGCATACAGCGGGTTCATGATTAAACCCACGGAGAAATCGGCGATCGCAAGTGATGCGATCAGGTAATTAGAGTTTGTTCTTAAACCAGGCGTCCTGTAAATTGCTAGAAGTATCATCGCATTGCCGAAGATTGCCATTACGCTTAGAAGAGCATTTAAAATACTAACAGGTAGCAGCAGATTCGTCGTGGAATTAGAACTAAAACCGCAAATTTGATCCATTTATACGTACAGTCCTGCGTTGGAATATGGGATTATTCAGTGATTTACACTCTTTCTATCTCGTCAACCGTGCAATAGAAAGGCTTTCGGTACTGAAAGTTAAAAATATACTATAAGCTTTGATTTTTGATTTTCAATCACGTCTTTTTCTCTACAGCTGGTAATCGTGATTGACGTTTTCGCTACGACGTTTTATATCTCGACAGATTTGTTCATCAATTTATTAGGCATGTGTCAACATGGATCCAAGAATAAAGCTACTAGCAGTTGATTTAGATAAATCAAGAGATAAGAGAACTCAGACCTTAAAGTTTGATCAAGCGAGCGTTTACTATGAAAGACAAAACGTTTCTCTTCAAGACTTCATTTGAAATTCAGTCCTCCTCGATTTCGATCGAATGGCGGTTTGAGATCGTGTTTCAACCATTAATTATATACATACCAAATCTAAGCATGTCCGACGCTTTTAGTCACTTAGATATAAACAGTATAATTTACATATGATAAATTTGTTTGCCCATGTCGTGTTCCAAACTTAAGATAATTTTGCGTCGCAAATTGGAATTACTTCCTAGTGAAATCAATAAACTACATCTCTTTTATCACACAGATATTTTATTAAATGTCAAAGATCGAGTAAATCGGAAATTTTTAAAAACTTCTGTCAATAGTCTTACAGCAGTTATCTCGCTAATGATGGATTTGCGCACATCCTTCTGTTTGTATTGTAAATTGTCAATAGCCAGCAGGTAATACGTGTCTACTCCCACGACTTAAGCTGGATTTCCTCTGTCGTGTTATTTTACGCACGTCAACAAACGTGTGGTTCACCGTTTTCCGCAGATATAAGCCGTCCATACATTTGCTCTGATCTGTTTTATTTGACTCGCGTAAAAATCCCCGAGGGGACTCTCATTTGAAAAGGTCGAGGATGTTCGTCGTCTCGCACAGGGGGTGTAAATCAAGTATTCTGGTCCCACGTAGGGTGTTCATGACGAAACGTCATTATATTTACCTATCTAGGTGTCTTTTAGGGTGCACTTTTTTCCGTTTTTTAGGTGATTCCTCAGAATTGCGTTGCGCATCCCTACTGTGCACGATTTTCGCGTCATTAGCGCGCGCTGAGGGGCGCGTGCACATTCACAGCATATACAAAATGGTGGCTTTTTCTAAACGGCTTCGCTTGCGAGAGACAAGTCATCGCTTTTTCCTCGGAAACGAGTACCGGGACCTAACGATTTTTTTATTTAGTTTGAATACAGAGATCACCTTTTTTCTACACAGTGAATATGGACCAATTTTTATTGCAGAGTGAAAAATTATCACGGAAAATGAGAGCATGGCTAGCACTCGTAAAAGATAATAGGCTGATTTAGCAACAGGACGGGAACGTCAGATGACGACTGCAGGTCGCGCGGAATAACCTGGATTCT